AAAAATCCCCTATTCAAACCACGAATACTCAACTGAGATTAAAACAATGTACACCATGAATAATGGGTGAATAATCCTGGACAATGGACACCTACACAGTAGTTGCGGTGAAACTGTCTGTTCACTGTTCTAAATTACTGCGCCAGCTACATCATAGTATCAGTATCTAATCTGTTTATAGTTAATTTACAACACTGAGAGTAAGTAATGTTAGTCCTTCAGTCCTCTGAACGCCACAGGATGGAGAACATGAAGCCCAGTTCAGACCAAAGATTCACAACGAGACGAGTTGAAATGTGCAACTACTTGAAATATGCTGCTCTGCAGCGTTGTAAAAACCTGCGTATTCATACCAAGTGACCACCATGAGACGGCGTATCGTCTCTAGTCAACAACTCTCTGTGCTTCTGATCTGTAACGTTGACAGGAAGTGACCACCATGAGACGGCGTATCGTCTCTAGTCAACACCTCTCTGTGCTTCTGATCTGTAACGTTGACAGGAAGTGACCACCATGAGACGGCGTATTGTCTCTAGTCAACAACTCTCTGTGCTTCTGATCTGTGACGTTGACAGGAAGTGACCACCATGAGACGGTGTATCATCTCCAGTCAACAACTCTCTGTACTTCCATTCTGATTTGCAGCTGGAGGACGGAAACAGTGGGCTCAGTGTGGACAGAGCACCTGCTGCAGCAAGCCAACACGCCGTCTGTGGTCATTTTGACTTGACCAGCAGACTTCACTACAAGCTGATTGGCTGTTGAGCAGAGCATGTGAGCGGAGCGGACCGGGTGAAAATTTCCACTCCTTGGTCGCAGACCTGTCACTTTGCGCCGCTCGTCCGCTCCGCTTGGTTCTGCGCATTCTTTGCTCTGCTCCGCTCCGTCATAAATTTTATCCCGCTCCATTCGCTCACCACTCCGCTCAAAAAAACTGCGTCGTACTACCCTAACGTGTAATCTTCTATTCACAAATAAAACATGAGCTTGGTAGATTCTCCGCGGAAGCCCTCTCCCCGCAGTTAAGGACCGTTCTCCAAGGTACCGCTGCTTCTCTTCTCAGTTTCTTTTCTGAAGTACACAGTAAACTCCATAGTTTTGAAAGAAAATAGTGTGGGCATGCGCAGGTGCAAAGATGCATTCTGGGTGGGGCATGAGTGACCGGAGCGAAATTGGAGGCAAAGATAAGGCTCCGCTCCACCTTTTAAAAAAACAGCCGCTCCTCGCTCAACACAAAATCCTTCCGCTCCCCGCTCTGCTCACATGCTCTGCTGTTGAGACAGGTGACGTGCTTTAAAACCAGCCGCCGGCCATCTGACCAGCTGAGTGTCAGGTGACACCATCAACTGGCTTGAGTCGAGCTCAGACTGGCCAGTTCATACCGCTGCAACTTTTCTCTGCAACGTCTTGTTGCAAATCTTTGGTCTGAACTGGGTTTAACACGCCCTGCAGGTACGACACTGCCCCTCTGATCTTAAGTAATCGTCTCACATCCGGTCGGCTATTCAACTCACTACTTCAGGCTGCGGCCGACTGTGATGTAACACATGGCGAATCGTTTGTTAATGAAAATCCTGATGTTGATTTGGGGACGGTGACATGGGTGGATAACTCGCCGGTCTTGTTGTTAAACATGCTGTCAAATTATATTAACTGTTTGTCAATTGTATGCAGTGTTACTGACTTTGAATCTTGCTAGCATAACGTTAGCTTTCTGGCTAACAGCTGGGCCAAAAGGTTCCATGAGCTGGGCGGACTAAAATATCTCCAATTGCTATTATTTATGCTCACATCAAAGTTCATTTAATCTTTAATTAATTTAGTTTTGATTCTTTTTACTGTCAAAATAACCTGAAAAAAAAGTGACAGTTTTTTAATTACCTTCTATGAAAACACAAATATTAAGACGAAGTTTAAAAAAAGGCATAAATATGTTTTAACACATCATTAAGTCTAAAAAACAAGGCTGGGCACTTCTTGTTGAAGCCTTTTCATTTCCATTTCTTTCATGTACTTGTTAGCAGCTTAACTTCAACACCATTGAATTTCCCTTTTATTTCCTTCCAGCAGAGAAGCAGAGACATAATTCCTGTCTCCATAATTAGAAGAAGTTCCAAAGCAGAAATACTTAAAATTTTGAGTACACATATATCATATTATATTCTACCAAGCCATAAAAATGCTACATCCAAAACAACATCTATAATTATTTTCTCCCAGAGTATCTGACTCAATCAGGCATGTTTTTCACTGCACCCTCCCCGAATCACATCTCAGTTCAGCCATTAATACAGGGAATAAACTCTGTTAAAGAAGAGGACATTTAGACCTGATGGTGGTGCTCATAGAGGAAAACACAGCGAGGGTTTATTCTCTGGGGAGCAGGAACATCTACAGCTGAGAACTTGTGTACATCAGACAAGCAGTTGTTGAGATATTTTATCCCGTGTTGTGTTTCTGTCTCTGATGGAAAAGTAGAAGTGAAAACACACAGAGAAAC